CCTTTTTCAGCTCTTCTATTATTCAAGAGGGAAGGCTGTTAGGAGCGTACTTTCCCTCTTACATGGTGGTGCCCAGTTTGAAGATGACATTTACATATTACGGCCTCGAGTCCTGTTCACCAGAACATCTCCGGCTGCTGGTACATTAGCCCTGAATCGAGGCAAATGGAAGGATTCCTACATCCCATCTATGGTATTACTTTTACAAATAGCGGAATAGCAAATCGTTCTGTTTAGGTCCATTCCAGTTGTCACCTCCTACCCAGCATGCTTCCAAACGAAAAAAAACTGGATTGTATACATGACCTTGCAAAGTCGTTCAAGTACTGGGTTACACGATGGAAGGGTGTTGAATAAGTTTGTCGTGGGAGAAGAGTAAGAGAAAAATTGCAGAAATATAAAAAAATATAAAAAAATCCCGAAAATCTTTTCCGAACTAATCACTTCCCCTGCCGAAAGAGGTTATGGCGACAAAGGATGTGTTATGACGAGATTTCAGTGGCCACACAGAAATTTCAATCGACATGGGCTCCATTTTGAATGAAATGAGCCTCAGGGACCTTGGCCACGTCCTTCTTAGAAGTATTTTGTGACGGTGGGCTCCGGTACCGATTCTTTAGCCTCATTGCTTCCTAGATAGGCAGCTTTTGAAAACGACCGTGCCCCATGCTACCTTATTACAGGTCATAAATTCCTACACATAAAGAAACTTCATGGTCCTTTTCTTTTTTCACGACATGAGCCTTCAAACCTAAAGTCACAGCTCTTTGTAAGACTGCCACTGAGCGATTGATCCCTAAAATGATGTAAAGTTCTGAGATTAAGTCCGAAATTTCTGACAGTGGTCTAAGGAACTGAGACGTTCAAAAATTCAAGAAATCTCCTTTGAAGGTTCATTTTGTGATAAAATAGTTTCAAAGGTTTCCCACCAATGGTAGGATGAATTCCTGCGCATAGGCATGCCTTGACGATCGTTGTCTGCTTAAAAAATAGCCCAGTTAGGGCGCAATAAGCACACAAAGATGGGCTTAAGTGGCCATTCATTTTCAAAAGGGGACGGGTTCTGAACGGTGTTGTAGAGCTCATTCCTGCTGATGTTGAATAAAATTAATGGCGAAGAACAGAAAATAGCAAAATGGCTGTCGCAGTGGTTCAGAA